ACTTCCGGAGCTCAGGGCCCTCTCATCTCAAACTGGGGGCCAGGCCTGATGGCTAAGCTGCCCCTCTTGGTTTGCAAGAGGCCCTGACTTGTTGCCTCATTTCTTTTAGCCACCAAGTCCTTAGCCTTCTTCAGAGCCCAAGAGGAGATGTAAAGGTCACAGGGTTTCTGCTAAAGGCTACCAAAAACATTTGGAAAGAGACGAGCAACTGGCCAAGGGTATACAGGAGTCAGGGAGAGCAGCCAGAATTGGCTGGTACGTAGACTGACCCAGACAGCAAGTTGATGGATGTCTTCCAGGAAGGGACCTTACAGGCCTGCTGGCAGGTGCTAGGCTCAAGTCTTGACTTGAGCTGCTCTTGGGACAGTGTGTAGGAGAAGCCAGGAGTTCTGCCAGGAGTATCACTCTAACCCTTCCCTCTCTGGAGTCTAGACTTTAGAGACCTTTCAGTGGGTTGAGGAGTCTTGCTCTTCTGGACCCCTTCATTATGAATACTGAGGCCCCTCACCTACTGGTTGAGGGAATGAGCCTGGGCCCTATGGATTGGGCCTGTCAAGGATGGCTTCTCAGAGGGACAGAAGTATTGGGGAGGGAGCACAGGTACTAAGAGCTCCACAAGCAGAGGAATTCCTAACACAGGAATGGAGAGTGAGCTCAGAGCAGGCCAGTCATGCCACATCTGGGTTGGCTCAGTCAGATCCAGATTTGCTCTCAGGGCTAGGCCTCTGGTCAGTGTCTTGTCCCCACTTCCCCTGCCCCTAGCTGTAGTTGCTAAGCTCACTGCTGACCAAGGAAGTCTTGTCACTGCCTTAGGAAAGGACAGTGGGAGCGGCCTCAGAGGAAGGCAGCCAGCCAAGGGGGTAAAAGTTGAGTGCGGCCAACAGCTGTGTGGAGGCCTCACCCTCTGAAGCAGCAGCCCAGCTCGCCAGCCTGAGTGAGGCAGCTATTTACTTTCAGTTTTTATCTCTACAGTGTTTTTCCAGCTCCTGATTCAGTGCTTATATCACATAAGGGAGCTGTACTGGAAAAGAACAGAACTTCAGCCATAAATGCAGACCAGAGGCTCGCTAAAGGCCAGTGGAGTACGAGCACTTAGCCTAGCACTAAGCATGCTTTGGAGAGATTTGTACTCTAGCTCTGCCCCTGACCTGTGGAACATAACCTTTTGCCTGAGATGGGAACAGCAAAGCTTTGCTTTGATCTGGCATCCTCAGCTGAGGTCCACCCTAGCTCCAGTGTAGCCCCTGTGCTTTGCAAAATGTGCCTGACCGAACCTCAGTCATATCTGAATTTGAGCTTTACAACTGACTTGAATCAAGAAAACCAAACAGACCTTAATTAGCTCCATTTGGTCCTAAGCAAGTGGGACAGGTCATTTTGGCCACAGACTAACACTCCCTCCACATATCCTACTACCTCCCCTTTGAGAAAGGGCTAGAGATAGCTTGAAGTGTAGGGAAAGGCCTCTGCACCCACCACTCCCTAGGAGCACATGGCCTATGATGGGGATCCATCCAGAGCTGTAGAGAAGACCCAGAACAGAAACTAAGATCAGATCACATTTCAGACCAGAGAGAAGAGCTAGACCCTTTTCTGAGCCCTTGAAGAAGCAGCTGTAGAAGGCTGGCCAAAGAAAGAGCCAGAATCCAGACCCAGAGAGAAAGTAACTTGTCCCAAAAACCGCTTAGTGAAATAGTAGAGTCAAAACCAGAACTAACTCTACAGCCTGTTATTAGCTTCTTGATTTGTGGGAACCCTAGGAAGCCCCACATTTTCCTTCTACCACCACTCCTTCCATGGGCTTTATTTTCTCCAGAGCAGAGCTCCACCTTTGGCACTGAGTGTTCCTTTATGACACCTCCTTGCCAGGGAGGCTTCCCATGTTCATAGCAAGTCCAAGTGCCCAGAAAAGAGCAGGCCCCTGTGTGGAAGAGCATGAATTTAATGGGAGATCTAGTGAAACAGGCTGCGAGGCCCTGGCCTCCTGCTTTGCCTGACACCCAGGCCACAGTGAGGTGTCAGAGATCTGTCTGCCTTTCTCTCTCTCTCTCTCTCTCTCTCTCTCTCTCTCTCTCTCTCTCTCTCTCTCTCTCTCTCACCAACCTGCCCTTGTCCACCAGCAAGGCTCTTCCTAGATCAGTTTATTGAAGTCAAAGAAGAATAGTCAGACTTTTCCCTCAGATACTCAAGCAGCTTGAGCAGACCCAGCTCCTCTTTCTAGCTCTGTCTTCTGCTGTGGTTCATTCCTGCAGTCAGCCCCAGCCCCTCTGCTCTGTTAGGAAAGAAATTCCTTCTCTGCACCTTCACTCAAGCTGAGCCTCTGTTTGCCATCCTCTCCATCTCACTCTGTTCAGACTCCACCTTCATGGTTTTTTCAAGTCCCTTTCCAGAGACTCTACCCCATGTATGACACCCACGGTCTAGAGTCCAAAGGCTCTGCAGCCGCTGAAGTTCTGATCCTGTCTCCATGTAGGCTCCTCCTGCCTCAGGAAAGTTGACGGCTTATGCAAAGCTCTTGCCCACATTAGTTCATTTATGTATGTATTCATTTGTTCATTCGTTTATTGTGCATATCCCCCAAACAGGAGTGTGGGAATGTTTCAGAGGAATGGCTAGTATATTTGGTGGTATTCCCACTCTGGACAGTTTCCTCTCCACACAGTTACACATTTTATGGTGACAACTCTGATAAAGAAAGATCCTTTACTACTTACTAATCAAGATATTTATTAAACCCTTTTAAAGTCAACAAAACCCAAATGCTACTGAGTTCTCTTTTTCTACTCCCCTGCACACAGAGCCAAATTCTGTCCCTGTCCTGGGCCCTAGGCCTGCACTATACAGATAAGGCCTCCTGGGACACTGGGCCTGGGTGTGGGTGCTTAGCTGAACCAGCCACCCTGGCCATAGGCCCAGGGAAAATAGGGCCCAGCCAGCAGCTGCAGGCCTGTACACATGCCCTTTCTCATAATGGGTGGCCTTGCTTCCACTCCAGCTCACTGAAACTCTGCCTATCTTGGAGCTGAGCACCCTCTGAAGCCTACCCAGACTTTCCCATTTCTTACTAATTACTCCTTTCTCCATTCTCCCAAGCTCCAAGGCTCATCTCTGACTGCCTAGGTCAGTGTTTGCCTCCCTTCTAGCATGAGCAGTTCTGTGAGGACAGGAGCCGTGTCTGCCTGTTATCCATAAGAGTGGATCAGATGGATTAGATCCTAGGCTTCTGAAAGCCTTGGTGAGCCACCAGCAGAAGTCTGTGATGGTCGTCTTATGAACTGAGCAGACCTATGAAAGTCTCTCCAAAGTGGAGAATAAGAAAGATCTCATTGGAGGTTTTGACAAATGATCAAAGACCAAGGCCTGTTTTCCCATCTGGCTTATAAAACAAATACCTCTAGTTCCCTATACTGTAGCAGATAAAAAAAAAAAAAAAGATGGAATGTAAGCTATAGCTAGTGACCCAGAACATCTATACTACAGCCAGAGGACTGAATTGTGTCATCTCTAAACACCAAATACCTCAGGATCTTGGGAATAGAGGAATACAGAAGCTTAAAGTCCCACAGAGACCCTGAGAGGATTTTAGCACAAACCTGCCACACAGCAGACCACCAGCCACTCGTTCTAGAAAGATTAAGGCATTTACTGCAAGAGGCAGTCTCCTCCCCACCTGATTTAAGTCGAGTTACCATGACTTAGTCTACTCATTCACTGGTCTAATAGCTTCCAAGTCCTGATCTTGACCTGGCCCACCATGGGTTATGTATGTCCTACCCACCAGTCTATGCCCTGCAGGGGTGCCTAGCCTGGAGCAGAGGGCAGGAAGATGCCGGCCTCCCCTGGCCTGAGGCATTATTTTGGAAGGAAGAACTGCAAACTGAACAACCAGTGACTTCCTTCTTCCCTTTAGCCTAGACCTGCCTAGAAGACAGAGCTGAACCTTCTAGTCTCTGCTCTGCAGCCCAACTCCAGCACTGCTTATTCTTGGTTGTTAGGAAAGCCTGCCTGAGGACCAATGGTGCCGAGGGCCTGCTCATATTGTCCTCACTGCCTTGACAATTAGAGTTTGAGTCTGGCAGGGGACCCTCCTGATTGCCCAGTCCCTTTGTTTGTGGTTGAAAAACTAAAGCAGTAGAAAAAGAGATTCCCAACTCCCTTATCTCGTTCTGACTGCTACTCTCACTGTTTGAGTTGATCACACTGTCTCCCCTCTGTTTAACTCTGTGCTCTAAAAACAGAAACTAAGTTCTGTTCACTTCTGCCTCCCTTTGACTGTAGACATTACTGGAGAGAGGAAGGAAAGATGGTATTACTCACTGCTACTCACCCTGAAGGAACTCTAACTAGACCTGGTTCCCACTAGCATGCTTACAGGGTGCAAGCTAGTCCCAGACTCTAACTTCTGTCCCCGTCTCTGGGGAGATGAGGGTAATATGGTGCAGTCTCAGTGTTCCATCAGCTTAGGAAGATCTGAGCTCATGGGATATGGGGACAGGGAAGAGATCTACCCATAGGAAGTCAGCGCATTTACCAAAGTAGCAATGGGAACATGCTTCATTCACCTGGAAGCTCCAGGAACTCAGGGCTGCATGCAGAATATACTAACCAATATCCTCCCCCAGGAGTTGGGTATAGTCTCAGGCCACACGTGGATGGTCCCATCTCAGGACAATGACCTGTCCAGAATCATGTAGCAAGAGTAGGAATGAGTCTTTAAACCTCTTCTGGAGGTGGTACTCTCCTCCTCCTGAGGTACAGAAAGTCTGAGCTGGGGCTCTGTACTTGGAGCTTCAAGACCTGAATTCCACCTGAACTCTGGGGAGAATGCTATCCGGACCTCATGATGTTGAGGCAAAGCTTCAATGAGATAAGGCATATAAAGTTGTTTGCAAACCAGTCACCTCTGCATAGGTGTTATCCAAAGGACCAAGAGGAGCCAAAATCACCCACTGGCAATGCTATATCCTCAGTGCTAATCTAGCTGACTTCCTCCTCTCCAGGACAAGAGTGAAGCCACCAAGGGAGCCCTCTTCCAGAGACCTTGTCGCCCCAGACCTAACTCGCTTCCTCCCAACCTGCCTGAGGAAGAAACTCGAAGGATTGCGCGAATATTTTCGTCCCGGTACTCTAAGACTGATGAAGCGTGAGGGACTAATGGAAGGGGCTACTAGCCAACCTCCCTCAGCTTTGTGCAGCTTGCAAAAGGCACCAAGTCTGCTTCCTTCGGGCCCTGAGGCCACTACCAGCCTAATCCACAGGCACTTTGAGACCCAATCAGCCAGGACTAGAGGAGTGTCCCAAATCACCTGTATCCAGGACCTCAACTTCTTTAATGAAGCAAAGGCTAGAAATAAAATGGATCCCAGTGCCCAAGTGGCCTAAGCAGGCATCTCTGAGCAGAGAAACTCCTCCAGTGTCTTTGACACAACCTGCTGCTCACCAGAGCCCCCTGCCCCCTGCCTAAATAAGGCAGAGTTTTTTTCTTTTTTTCTTTTTTTTTTTTTTTTGCCTTAAATAGTAGAGCCTGGGGAAGGAGAAATGTGTGCATAGCTAAGAAAATCCCAGGGACCTGCCCTGCTCATCTGATTGGAAATGAGGGTGCCTTATAAATTATTCTTACGCTATGTTGAATTAATCGAAGAGGAGGAAATCACCCTCCTTTAAACTGTATATTTGATTATCTAAATCTAACCATGTTTTTAACTTATTGTTTTTACTCAGCTCTGAAATTCACTGTTCTTACCTGTGTTTGAATAAAATGCTACTGGTATTTATCTTGTACACAAGCATTTCCTGGGTTGGTCACTGGGATGGAAGTGCTAGAACTTTTATATTTTACATAAAGAAAGGTCGACAACCATTTAGCCCCCAACACAGCCATTTGGAACAAGGGACCAGGATCATTCTGAGATTTCTGAGCTTCTCCAAGCATCAGATTGGTCCAGAGTAGAGAGACACAAACATTTCCTTTCTTTGGGTTGTTTTGGTTTGTCTGTTGTCATTTTGGGTTTTTCCTTGTATTTCTTTTCCTTTGATAGTTCTTGAACTCTATCAGCAAAGTGAAAGCTTCTCTAGGAACTTGTCCCTCAGAGTCCCCTATGTCTCTTGGAAGGACATCTCTGTCAGGCCTCAACCACTTGAGCAGCTACCATAAACAAAGCCCTCGGGATAATTCAGAAGGGGCCAAGATATACAGCACAGGCTGGGTGACAGGGTTGGCCTGCTTGTTACCCTAAGCATGTGTCATTTCACTCAAGACTTAAAAATAATTCTACACCCTAGTCATTGATCTCCCTCTCATAGTTAAACTCAGGGTCAAAGAAGTCCAGTGTTTTGACTCTGTGTAGCTAGAAAGTGAGTCACAACAATAGGATAGCCCCAGAGATACAGGATTCAGTGACCAGAGCAGGCTAAGTGTTCTGAGTTTGGGCAGTCAGGGCTGCTGCAGCCAGGGAAAGTTCCTGAAAGATAAGTCTTGGGGTGATCCACAGAATAGGCCAGGCCAGGGACAGCTGCAGAGAGATCACAAGGATGCCCTGGGCCATGTGCCACTGTGCAGAGACCAGTCTGGGTGGCTCTGTATGCACTTCTGGCCTCATCTGGAAAACATAGGTACTGTTAGTCTCTGGGTTCATAGGGTTGTGGTAAAGGTCAAATGAGATGACATTTCTGAAAGTGTTTTGCCTGCACTTGGCACATAATGATAGCTTAGGAAATGTCAGCTCCACCCACTCTCCCCAAGCTTCTGGAGCAAACTAGTAGTGACCACAAGCACACCAGCCTCAGAAGGCAGTGATGCAGGAGCCCTGAGGAGAGAGAGAGCTGCTCTTCATTTGTGGACCACTTGCCCTCAGCCTTACCTGCCTCTAGCACCAGAGGCTGGCCTCACCTCAGGCCGCCCTCTCAGGCAGAACAGGACTTCCAAAGCCTGGGGTTTCACCTCCCTTAGGGCACAAGGTTCCAGGCCTATGCCCTGTACCCCTATGAGGGGTCCAAGTTCCAAGCCTAAGGGGTAAAGCCTCAGGTGAAAAAGTTCACTGCCAAGTCCTGCTCCTGTAAATAACCTGATGGGGTCAAATGAGGACAGGCCTGCTCCTACCCCAGGCTTCCTGCAGCCTCTGATGGCACAAAGACACTGCGGGTCTCAAACATGGGCAACACTCACAAAGGGTGTGCTATCAATATCTCAGGTGACATGACTTGCCAAGTCATACAATGTGTTTGTCCCCACCAGCAGAACTAGCCGGTGTCTCCCTGACTTCCCTGTAAACATGCCCTCCACAGACAGCTGAAAACAAGTATTTCTGAAGACTGGGCGCATCTGTAGCAGCCAACCTTGGAGCTTCCAGCAAAGGCTGAACTGTAGAGATGGCACCAGACAGATCCGCCCCCTGGAGGCTCCCAGGCCCAATCAGCTGAGACCTCCTCCCTCAGGGTGTTTCCAGGGCCTGCTACCACCAATTTGGCTCCTGTTTTACCCCTCCCCCATGTACCTCCTGCAGGCCTGCTCCCCTCCCTTCCCTTCCTGAGCCCTCCCAGTCTCAGCAACCCCAGCAACCACCATAATGTAACCTGCCTCTTCTGCTGACAGTAAGGGAAGAGCCTGGTTCGAGAAAGAACAGGTATAGCTGAGGCTTTGCACTGCAGCATCCCAATGTCAAACCACCTGCCATGACTGTGGCTCCATGCTCAAGTTCCCTCTGCCCTACCCGCTTAACTCCCCCTCTCACCTTCCCACCCCTCTCCTCTTGGTCTCCCTCCCACCCTTTCCTATGCCACCTGGGTCCCAGGTTCAAAGATGCCCCGTCCTTACCTCCGTGCCTGCAGGTGGAGCCGTGGAGCCTACAGGAGTGCTGCAGGGGGCTCTTCCCACTCTGCTCCAGCTCCCTCTAGCCTCAGTGTGTCCATGCTAAAGCTTCCAAGCAACATGTCATGGAGAAGAGTGGTCACCACAGATGGACCCAAAGTGCTATAGATTACAGGCAAGGCCAGGCTTTGCCGTGCACTAGTTGTGCAACCTTAGGACATCATTGTCCTCTTTGAGACTCAGTTTTCGCCTCTGTAAAATAAGCATTGAAATCTGAGGGTTCTCCACAGGACAGGAATGAAGTATAAAAACACTACAACCTATGAAAACACCACGTGCCAAGTGAAAGAAGCCAGCCACAAGGGTACATACTGTATGCGTCTATGTACACAAAACTTCTAGAATAGGCAAATGGAGAAGCTAAAAGATTAGTGGTTGCCTGGAACTGGGGAAAGGGAAGGGAAGTGGTTGTTGCTCAGCTACTTGGAGGGTTTTTGTTGTTTTGTTTTGGTTTGGTTGTTTGTTTTGGTCTTTTTAAGACAGGGTCTCCTTGTAGCCCCAGCTGGCCTTGAACTCACAGAGATCTGCCTGCCTCTGCCTCCTGAGTGCTGGCATTAAAGGTATGTGCCACCACACCTGGTTGTTTCGTTTTTAAGCAGTGATGAAAATGTTCTCAAGTAGATTGTAGTGATTGTTGCTCAACTCTAAATATACTAAAAATCGTTTTAATTCTGTGCTTTAAATGCTCAAATGGCATGATATGTAAATTACATCTCAATAAAACTTATTTTTTTATTTAGAATCCTAATAATACCTACTTCATATGAGTATAGGGAATAGAAATAATGCATCTAAAATATCAAGCATATAATAGACACCAAGAAATAGTGATTATCATCATTGCTGTTAGCAAGAGGAGGCCCAGGAAAATCCTGACAGTCTACCCTTAGAAGCCTTGACCTTCAGGCTTTCAAAGGTCACACACACACACACATCTTTTTGTCACCAAGGTAACCCTTTTTTTGAAACCCAAAGGAGCCATATTAAAGAGCCCCAGGTCAAGGGAGCTGAACTAGATCTGGAGCTCACTGGTCCCCTCCCTCCCTGCCCCTTAGCAGCACGCCCCTTGTCAAGTGGCCAGACTGTCAACTAGCTTCTCAGCATTAGGTTTCAGGTCAGCTGCTGTATAAGGCCAGTGCCTAGCCAGAGGCAACAGAGAGCAGTACATGGCGAGGAGGGGCCATCAAATCCTGCTGTTGCCCCCTGCAATGGACCCCAAAGGAGCCCCTGCACTGCCCAACCTTGGCTAGACTCACAGGTAAGATCTTGTTCCCCTCCTCAGCTTCTCTGCCTCTCTTCTCCTTCAGCCCATTCTCCCTTTCTTAGAGGCTGACTGAGGGAACACACACCATAGCATGAGAGACAGGCTTGACCCCACCTGGTCAAGATGAAGGAACTGCAGCCCTAGGGAGGGCTAGAACCCCACATCTGTGTCACTCCCCAGGACATACCCTTGTCCTGGCTGGCTCTTCCAGTGGGATTTTATAGGTCCCACAGATGGAAGGTGGCCTTCTCTGTCCCAGAATCTCCAGGATTCCCCCAGAGCACCAAGTTCTCTTCAGGAAGGGCCATTTTCCTGGGTAGTGATGATGAGAGCACCTATGGCCTGAAGCCTGGCCCAGGTGGCATACTGGACCTTTATGGAGCTTGCTGGTCACTCTGCCCAGGTGGCTTCTCCAGTGCAGATGTAGAGGCTTTGCCAGGGAGGACTGGGTTAGGCAGTGCAGAGGACGCAGTCAATGGGCCCTGCAGGCTAGAACATCCCATACCTTGGGTACACTCTCAACTTCTTCCTCATCCAGCCAGTGGCAAAGGTTTGTTGGCTGCCGGGCTTCCTCAAGTAATGGTTCAGGAGGCTGGGGTGCGGTGAGAAGGAGGTTAGGGAGCCCTGTCTTCAGGAAGGTTCCTACCATGTCTGCCATTGTGGCCTTGACAGTATACCCTGTTTTTGACCTGAGTCTGCCCATCCTTTCTGTTTGTGATGGATGGCTCAGGACTAATGCAATATGCTACAGTTTCACCCAGCCACGGTTCCTGACCAAGTTTAGGCTTCAGCACCTCTTGGTGGGTACATTTCCAATAATGTTGGAGCCCCCATCCTTCCTTTCCAGTCCATCCTCAATTCCTGCACCAGCATGCTCTAGACCCCCAGCCCCTCCTCATTCTCCACCAGATTAGGTCTAACCTTAGCATTTGCAGCCCTCCACCAAAGGGCCCTGAGGTCATCTCTGACCTCATTTCCTATCTCATTTCATTAAGGGTTTCTTGAGCCAGCTGGTCCTCCTTTGTCTGTCTTGGTGCCCTCCCTACAGTGGGCTTCAGAGAGAAGGAGGGTAAGTTAATCCCACCCCTGCTTTGGGGGTACCCACATAGCTGGAAAATGTTACAGATAATGTGGCCATTCTACAAGAAAGTGAGATCAGAGTCAGCAGAGGACAAAGCAGTGTCAGAAGAGGAAACCCTGCCTAGTGGTTCTGTCCTCGAACCAAGGAGAAAGCTCTCCGGAGAAAGCTCTCCAGAGAAACTCCCAGCTTCACTGGGGAGAAAAACCCATGAAGTGCCCTCTGCCAGACCAATACACCATCTTAGGAGACCTAGGGCAGAAAGTGCCCTGGAGTCACACATCCCTGATGGGACACCACCTCTGCTCACTTTGTGGCCCCAAACAGGTCACTACTTTTCTAGCCTCAGTTAAGTGGAACAGGAACACCTAACAAAGGATTTGAGCTTCTGAGTGACTCACAGACAGGTTTTGAGGACAGGATGCTTATGGAATGTACCTCAAGGGCCTCCCCAACTCTGAAAGAGCCTCAGATTCATGATGCCAAGGCCGCAGCGGCTCAGTTCTCCGGGGTAAATCCAAGGCTGAGGGGAAGAGTCCCCCAGAATGCCATAGGGAAAATCAGCTGCTCCAACAGTACATTCCAGGCCTGGGCAGAGGAGCCAGCACCTCCCTGCTGAGGAGCCAGGCCTGGCTGCTCTTCTGTAGGGCAAAGGGGAATGAGATCCACCCAAGTGGAGGGTGTTTCTCCTAGCATGCACTCACTGCTGTCTCCTTAGCCAGCTTGGCTCTGAGGGCCCCAGGCCTTCTGAGTTTGTCTCAGGGAACACCCAGACAGGTAAGAAGAGATTGAAGGAAGAGCCTGGGAAAGTCAAGGCCTGACTCAACCTACCTGCACAGATCTCAGCCTCATTGGGCCCACAAACTTCACCTGATCAGTGGACTTGGTGCTTACCCAGCTTCTCCATTCTTTTTGGTTTTGTGGAGAATTTGGTTACTGCAACGGGCTTTGAAATCCTGAGTGGTCACACTCCCACAACGACTGGGTCTGTAGGTGGCATAGGGAAGACAGCTTTATTGCTTGGTCATTGGAAGTCTCTATTTTCACCTCCCCAAGGTGTTTTTGAACCTAAAATAGCAGAGTGAATGCAGGTAGACACCGGGGCCTAGCAATGCTGAGCAAGCTAATGTCTCCAAGCCTCAGCTACCTCTGTACAGTTGAGAATTAAGTGAGCTCACATGTGGAGGGCTCCCACTGCAGAAGCCTCACAGCCCAGCAGCCAGGCTCTCCTGCCTTGAGCTTTCGCTGAGCTCTGGTTTCCCCTACGCGTCCAGGTCTCCGCCTCCCCTGGACCATCCTCACTTCTCCAGCTGCTGAAGGCCCTTTGCAGGCTAGGATCTGGTGGCTGTGAGTCCCAGCCTCAGCCCATGTTCCCCTTATCCAACCACACCTCCTTCCTTCCCTTTAGGTAATTCTCGATCTTCCTGACTAGAAAGTGAACTCCTTGAAGGAAGCCAAACCAAACCTGATTTTTCTATCTCTCACTTTACTGGTGATCAAGAAATACCTGATCAATCAATAGACATTTACCTCAGCATGAGTTAGGTCACCAGCTCCTTCCCAAGAACAAGATTTTCCAGGGAAAGGCGGCCGCAAGCATGAGTCCATGGCACCTGAATGGGCTGTGTAGGCCGAGAAGCCATCACAGAGAGAACCAGGTTGAAACGAACCTTACGAAGACACCAGGCCTGGCTCCCTCTTAGCTTTTGGCACCTAACTCATTAATCATTTGCCCAAGACAGGGTAAATGTACCTAAGGGTACATCACCCAGTGGTAAGCCTTGAAGGCAGGATCAGAGCCCAGATTTCCTGATGACTGGTTCAGAATTCTGTTGTCCTATAGGGAAGTGGTGCACAATGTCCACAATTCTGTGGGACTGCCTCTCCCTGGGTCACTAAAGGGCCCAGGACCTCATCACACCAAAGAGGTATATAAGTTGATGCACAGAAATCCAGGTAATAAGGATACAGGACCACCCATGATGGTGTGCCACCAGTTTCACAGCATACCTAAAGCTACACCAGGACCCCCACAGTAACCAGCAGAAAAATTGGTGCATACACAAGTTCATAACCGTGTGTGTGTGTGTGTGTGTGTGTGTGTGTGTGTGCGCGCGCGCACACACATAAATACATGTCTGCACTGGCATCGTATGTGGATTCTACCAAGATAGCACATCTCAATGACCCAAGACTGAGAGTCCCCTCTGAGATTCTGTCTTTAGCTGAGACAGGCCCCTTCAGTGGTATGAGAGAAGAGGGTGCATGTGCCAAGCCAGGCAGAGCAGCCGTAACCACTTTAGACAGCAGAACCACATGTCAGAACACCTCCCTCAGAGCCATCAGGAGACAGGGGCTCAGCAGCAGAGCACTTGGGTTCCAGGCCCTGTCTCAGTTCCACAGAATGACCATCAGTGTAGGAATCATACGGGGTGGGGGGGGGGAGAAACCAGAAATGAGAAGTCATCTGTTTTTATGTTTATGTATAGAAAGCTATACCCAGGCCAGGCATGGTGGTGCAGGACTCAGGAGGTTGAAGCACTCAGGAGATTGAAGCAAGATGATCTCAAGTTCAAGCCCAGCCTGGGTAACTTAGTGAAACTGCCTCAACATAAAAAGTAAAGAGGAGGCTGGGTTTATAGCTCAGTGGTAGAGTGCTTGCCTCATACTAAGCCCTAGGTTCAGTCCCCATTACCAGGCAGAGCAGAGTATATTTAAGCATCCTTTTGGAGGAAAACATCTATCTTTGCCCAGGATAAATGAGTTTCTTTGAATCACAAGAAATGTTTTCCTTGCTTGGGAGCAAAGAATCCAAAATGATAAAGACAACTCAGAAAGTGGGATCCTGGAGAAATAGTAGGACCCTGGGGAGAACAGGGTGCCTGTCAAGTCAGAACCAAGCCTACTCCCTGCCTGAACCTCAGTTTCCTCTGTCAATGAAGACACCACCAACAAATCCCAGCACTTGGGAGACAGAGGCAGGCAGATCTCTTAAGTTCAAGGCCAGCCTGGTCTACATAGCTAGTTCCTGGCAGCTGGGGCTACAGAGAGACCCTGTCTCAAAAAGGCAAAAAAAAAAAAAAAAAAAAAAAAACCCCGGCCTCCCCCCGG